ACTCTCAACACAATATTGAAGGCACCTAAGTGGGGCTCAGTACAGAGTAAGAGAATCTTGGAAATACCCACATCTCTCACACAGTATCTAAAACATAGGAAAAGATGAGACTAGTCAGGAACACCTGGAAACAACAGATGGTCACAGCAAGAAGGTAGGAATGGAGCGTGGAGCAATAAAACCGAGGCTCTATGTAATATCCTATAACACAAGGATAACTGGTGAACCAGGACATCAGGGAATTCACACAGTTCCTCCTGGGGCTCAGTTTTCCCAATTTAGCTTGCTGCCCATAAATTACAGTTGAAGAGACTAATGGAAAAAAATCTCCTACAATGAACTTGCACAACATCACAGAATGAGAATACTGTCTTTTTTCCTCTTTTATTTTAACTTTAAGGAAAAGCAAATTTCAAACCTTGAAGGTGGCTTTTCACTTGCTAAATTCAAATTTTAATCAAACTGCATTTTAAAATACAACTGAGCAGAACTATGGGGTTGCTGATGTCTCTTTAAGGAAAATGACATCAGTGCAGGCTACACTTGAGAAGGATATAGGTGTGGAACTACATCCTTTTTCATCATACGGTCAGGTGCAAAGTGAAAAGTTTAACTTCAAGATTCCTGTGGTCTAATGAAAATAAATACCATTACAAACAGATCCAAAACCACAGACATATTAAATACTGTTTGTCTGTCTTCAGATATAGATCATGGGAACAAAGATATTTAATTACTTCAAGGTTAATTTTGATTTCATTTGATTCATTTTGATTTCATAAACAGGTAAGCTGTTTACACTGCCAGCAACCTCCTGGTATTCTGACAACTAGCAGAGGCAGAAAAAATAAACGAAAAAAGTGGAAAAAAGTCAATTAGCATTTACGAGAAGAGTTTTAAATTGGTATCTAAGCATTTGACTGGCCTATTTTGATTACGCTGAGCAACTAAATGTCTACAATACAAGAAGAATCACTCATCTAGTAATATTTGTAATAAAGAAAATTCAATTCAAAATCAGAACACATTTCCATAGCTCTACAAAAAGAGCTACAAAACTTTCAACAAATCTTAAATTTGTAGAGGACATTTCACAGTGTCAGTTTCCTCATTACAAGGAAGTTACCATGGAGCAAACTGGTCAAGTGTTTATGTCAAACTTCAGACAAGGAAAACCACATCCTAATACTCTGCTATAATAGCAAATGGAAAAACTGCCTGTATCTGTGCACACACAAAAGGTACACTATAGAAAAGCATGATGAAAAATACTGCTTTGTTTCTCATGCTCATATCTAAAAATTTACACAACCAATTTAGCACATTCTCACTCACTAAGCACCTAACGCTAAAATGCCTGTAGAACCTTAAATTTTATTTACTTGAATGTGAACCACGAGAACAACACATTGAGAAACAGCATCTTAAGGCAAGTCCAACTGCGGATCAAAGAAATTTTAAATTAAGAACAGTACTAAATTGTGCCTTTCTAAAAGTAAGACTAATAACTTTATTAAACTATTTTACTGATACTAATGATTTTATTATATCAACACCACTAATGATATTTTAGGATGGGTATAATTTAGGCAACTACAACAAGCATAAATCATAATATCCAAACAGGACACTGCATTAGATACATATCTTCACATTTTGCCATCTAATCTCTCTCAAACAGCAATAGCTTTTTTAAAGAAATACATAATTAGCTATCATACCATTACTAAGAGTGCTTAAAAAAAGAATACATATTTGTGTGTAACTTCTTTCAACAGCACTGAAGAGGCCACTGAAATGTCTTAGATTTTTTAATAATGGTCAGTCAATGTTCTCAGATCTTGGTAACTAGGCTTATCATTTTGGCAGTCAATGATGCTCCTAAGATTAATGAATTTTTTTCTATAATACATAGAAAAAAGCCAACAAAAACACAGCACAAACCATTTTTTTATTTCCTATCAGATGTAACAGGTAAGCACTAACAATTGTTCCACTTTCTTACCTGTTGATACAACAAAATTAACAAGGAGAGAGAGTCGAACACATACGTTATGAAATAGTGCAATGAAAGAAAGCCAAAGCAGAGCTGATTACTCCCAAAGGAAACAAGTGAAGGACATCTTAAAAAGAATGTTCATAATATGAAGACCTATACATATTTAACTTTGTGCATGAAAAACTGAAACAAGACAAAATAGTATTTTAAATTGTGTAACCATTCTGCAAAAAAAGAAATATTTTAATACTTTTCATTTCCATGCACCTCAACAGCCATGCCTTGGAAAGCTCTACTCCCTTTTCCCCAAGCCAATCTAAGCTTAGTGTCATTCACTTGCTGAGCCTTGGGGACTCCAAATCGCGCATCCCCGCATGGACAGCTTGGCTCCCCGTATCCCCAGCTGCGGAGCGGGCGGTAGGTCGGGCAAGCCGGGGGAGGGAACATTAACCCAGCCCAGGGGCTGCCACGGCACACGCAGCCAGTGGGTGCAGCAAGGGCCCGGCGGCGGTGCGGCCCCGGGGGCGGAGGAGGCGCGGAGGCCGGGTAGGGCCGCTTGCCCGCGGGGAGGCGCTGAGGGCAGAGCGGCTCCTCCTAACGCCGCCTCGGCGGGACGCGACGCCACTGCCAAGCCCTGCCGCAGGGGATGGGGTGAGTTTCCCCCCAGCGCCGCGGGGCAGCCCCGGGGAGCGCCCCCGGCCCGTTACCTGCGCGCTCCGGCCCCGCCGCCGCCGCCGCAACAACAAAGCCGCGAGAGGCGGGGGGAGGGGCGGGCGCGCACCCGCCGCCTTCGGGAGCGCGCAGCGGCGGGGCCGCGGCCCGTGGGCGGGGCGAGGCGGCGCGGTCGCGGGGCTGGGGCGGGGCCGGGCCGGGCGGGGTGCGGGGCTCGAGGGGTTGGTTGGCGGGAGTATCGCCTGCCCGCCCTTTCTCCGGTCGGGCAGTTGTTTCTTTTAGCGCTGTTAGTGCTGGGGTGCTGCCTAGGCTGGCCAGGGACGGAATTCCCCACTAAGGGACGCAGTAACCACAAATGGAGAGACAGACCCTGCCAGGGATATCGAGGAGGAGAATGGAGTGGTGCTCATGTACTGGTTTGGGAAGAGGCCATATGGAAATGAGATTAAGCCTAGAAGTGCTTTATGAAACCTGCACAAGTGGGAAGGTTGCCCTTTTTGGAGGGAGGAGAGAGGAATGGATGGATGTGCCATATATAAAAAAGACTGTCAGCAGAGGAATTGAATTGTGTTGAGGTGCACAGATCTGGGGTTTGAATACTGTGAGACAAACTTAATAGTTTCCTAACAAGACTAGAGTTTATTTTTTTAAGGAGCAGGTTACTATTCTGTAAACATCTGTGTAATTTACATGCGCTGTGACCATTGTTTTTCAGTTTGTTCATGTAAACCTTTTTGTTGCAGTGACACTTTCTGCAGAGAACAAATCTAAGTGACCAGTTTCTGCATCCTCTGATCAACTGTAAGTTCTCTTTGCTGTGGAACTACTGTTGCAAGTCCACCTTAATACTAGATTTGCTATTTGAACCAAAGGGAACACTGTACAGGAACATCTAAATCTCTGGAACTAAAAAGTAGCAATGCTTCAGCATCTGATTCTTGAGGATAGGGAACACCGGAGGCTTGATGATCCTACTATATTTATTGAGCAGCAGTCTCAAAGAGCCCAACCAAGGGAACTAAAGCAAATGCTAATGAAACATTGAAGTTGAGATTTTAATTACTTAAAGGTCAGCACATTCAAGGTCTATCAGTTTAAGGGAGTTATTCTGTATTCCTACAGTGATGCCCACTCAGCTCTTACAAAGATAAAAAAATTCACATTACTGTTTATTTGTTGATGCATGCAAATTACATAACTGAATGTTATACCTGAATATTATTCCTTTTTGCAATTAGAGTCTTGGTCTTTTAACACTTCTCTGTATATTTTCTATGTTCCCATCACTTTCAGTAGCAATAAACCCTTTGTTTTTTTCTAACTTTTGTCCTACATTACAAAAGGCTACATTTCCTTTCAAGCTTGGAACCTCTACTCAGTTAGCAACATTTGTTGCTAGACTATCACAAAACACTCACAGGCACTCTGCAAACTAATGTATCAGAATACCCGTACGGCTGAACTATCTTGTCTTTCAATGGTGCTGCCGCTGGGAATGAGCCCATGCTGACCCCACGCTGACCCCACGTTGTACTCTGGCATCTTCCAGAAAAGCACAGTTTGGCCTTGCTGCAAGCAGTGTTGGGGTCTGTCAGCACTGGTGCTATATCCCAGCCCTTCAAGCTCATGCCCTGGCACCGTTTTATTTACTAAGATGGGCCAACAGGTCCGTGTAACATATGTAATAGTTACACTCAAAGTGACAAAATACCCCTGTCCTTTGAACATCGAGGAGCTGGATCTAACCTTTAGACCAAAGGTTTTAAAAGAACAGCATGCTTCAGAAACAGCCTGTGAGCCGAGCGGCACAAGGGACCCTTCCTAGAAGTGGAGCAGTAGGGGATCTGCGGGTGTTAGCTGGGTCCCAGCAGCGGTGGGGAACAGGACTGCAAGTATGCGCTGTATGGCACCAGCCCCGAGGCGGGAGGACACGGCCCGAGCCCGAGGAGGCGTCTGGCCTGCCTTCCCCCGACGGCTCCCTGACAGCCGCCAAAGCCTCGCTCCCCGCCCCAGCCTGGGCGATTCCAGCGCCGGCCGCCCCGGCTGTGCCCTAAGAGAGAGAGGCTGCCGTTTTCCCGGCTGGAAGCGACCGGAGAGCGATTTCTCCGCTGCGATCGCCAGCCCGTGCCGTGCCCGGGGCCGCCCTCTGCCCGCCGGCTGCCAAAGGTCGCCGCAGGGCCCCGCGGCCCGGCGCCCCCGCCCCCCGGCGGTCGCGGCCCCCCGTCCCGCCCGCAGATAACCGCGGGCCCGCCGCCTCCCCCGCTCTTTCCCCACCCGCCCGGCGCGGACTCGATCTCGGCTTGGCAGCCGCTCTCCAGGCGCCGGCTGCCTCTCGTCGTCGCCGCGGCGCAGTCAAGGATGGCTCGGCAGCGCGGGGGCTTTCTGCAGGAGGCCTCTCACCAAGTCGTCGCCGGAGGCTCGGCGGGTGAGTGGGCACGTCCCTCCTGGGCGGGAAGGGTCTGCCCGGCCCCCGCCGGCGCTTTGCCAAGTTGAGATGCAGAGGCAGGGTCGCCGCCGCCCCCTCGCCGCGCTGCTCAGGCGGCGGAGCGGCGGCGGGGAACGGCCCGGCTCAGCGGCGGCTCCTCCCCCGCCGGGCGGCGCGGACGAGCCCCGGAGGCGACCCACGGCCCGGGGTCCCGGAGGCAAGTTCTGTAACGGTGCTCGGCCCGCCGGGGGGTGAAGGGGGATGAAGGGGCGCCTTCCCTGCTCCGCTGTGTATCTGCGCTGCACACGCCCTGCAGCCCCTCGCGTGATAAGGGAGGCAGGCGGGCCCCCTTCAACGGCAGCAGCCGCCCGTGTCCCCCGCCCGCATGGCTGGAGCCGCGCTCTATGGAGTCCACAGCAGGGATCCGCCTGCCGTGCCTTGATGCGGGACAGAAAACGTGGCTCCCCTGCCCAGACGCCTTCCCCGTGGCACTCTCCGTCGCTGCGTTATAGAGAAACCGATGCATGGCTACAGTTTAATAATGAAAGCAATGCTGGCTAATTTCTTCCAGTTTTTTACCTAAATCGAAATAAAACCGAAATATTCAAGTCAGCCCAGGATGTAGGGGATTTTTACACAATATCCTGCTCTTTCGGTGTGTATAAGTAAATTCTGTTAATATTTCAACTATCTAGTGTGTTTTTAATTATTCTTTAGTGTTTCTTGAGGTCTAAATGCTGTTTGTCATATTATGTTTTACATGAAAGAGGAAAGCTACATGGTAATGCTTTCCATAAGGTCCTCAAGGAAAATTCTCCCATGGGTGAGTCCTGTGGGACCGTGACACTACATATGAGCTGGTCTTCCATTCCCTCTAATTCTCTTGCTATCCCTGAATGCACTTCTGTGCATTCCTGCCACCAACACATATTTGAGCACTTTCTTTTCATGCCAGTGACTCTCTATGCCCTTTGTTTTCAACCTTCTGCTTTGACAGAGAGGGATGTCATAGCAGAAGTGGAGTCTTCTGTCCTGACCCTTTCAGTGTATTGTATGACTGTTTATGCAGCTCTTCTGCAGCCTTGGAAATTGTAAAGCTTTTTTAGATTCTGCTTGGTACCACCCCACTCTTCCTTTAGGAGGGAAAGGGAAGGTTTAATCTGTGCTAGCCTGTTGAAGGCCCTTCATACCTGAAAGGATACTGGGGTGTTTTGCCACCACATGTTTTGCAAGATGACAGATTTATCTACCCATGGCAGTGGGCCTGTGCCTTAGTGATTCATATTGATCTAACACAGTATCTTTCCATCCTCTGACAGTAGCCTGTTTTTGTTACAGGCTCTCTTTGTTCATAGAACAGACTGTCTAACACACCAGAAAGAAAATTGTCATTAGATAAACACAAGCTTTTACTTTGTGTTTAGAAAGACTTCAGAAAGCCTTTGTGTTTGAGGGTGATGTAGAGAAAAGACAAAATGAAAACTGCATGCTGATCTGGTAGGCATACATCTTGAGGTAAGAGAATTCTCAATTCAGGGAGACAACTGATCTGTACTTAACTCTTTTAAAAAAGTATATTGCAAGAAGCATGTTGTATCTAGTCCAGACGTAATGCTGAAGATGCTTGCATCCTTTTGCTTAGTCTCCTGTCAGGCAGCCAGGTTCATTAGCTCCATCGCTAGCCTTAAATGTGTACAGAAACTTCTACTCATTGGTTTTGAAATAAACCAATAATGACTGTTCTCTAAGTCTGAACAACTCTAAAATTGTACCAGGATTATTAGATGTATGGCTCAAAGTGGGAGTTCTAAGGTGTTAGAGGGAAATGGCTCAAACTTGAAAACTTGCTTGACAGATGCTTAAAGCTCAATGGTGTTTTCCTGTTAGTTTATAGAGAGGGTAGAAGAGGAAGGCTGTAGCTTTGAGGTCTTCAGTCTTAAGGTTGCGTTTGTCAGGCAAGAGTGGATCCAACATGGAAAGGTGGAAGCAGAAAAAAAAAGGATGGAGGGCATGAGTTATTGATGGTGTACTTAGTATTTCATCCCAGTGAGGGATTTGGTTGCCTGACCTTAGTTTCCCAGTGACGGTTAGACCACACTGTATTCCTTTTGGCTGCAGAAGAACATAGGACTCCAGTAGGTGCTTTGTCATATTTCCTGGTCTTATGAGAATGTCACAGACATCCTAGAGTGGCCTTGCTGTCTGTACCACAGTCTAGTATTTAGAAGGAAACTGAAAAAGAAAATCATCGTTAGTTAAGCACAAGGAATGTATGAAGCTGTTTCTAAGAACGATGCTCTAAGTTGGAATCTGTCAAAACAGCGATAGGCATGTAGTGAGGTGGTTGGGAATGAATGGCACAGCCCAATAGGTGTAATTGAAGGGTCAGAAATAATTGTCTGCATAAGTAAAATGAGAGATAATTTAGCATCTGAATGTCTGATGCAAAGGGATCTGATAAGAAGTAATTCTGCTAGGTCGAGTGGAAAATTATTAGATAAGCCTAAGCTGTCAGAACAGGAAGAAAGGATTTTTTGATGCTTTATGGAAGATGACAGGACATGCTCATGGCCTTAATAAAGGTGGGGAAGAGGAAAGAAAGAAATCAAGCATGACCCCTAGTCTACAGGACTGATAAAATGGAAGATACTGGCATGCTGAAGGAAGGAGAAAGGAAAGTATTCAGTATTTTAAAGGAAAATATTTAAACATATGGTTAGCTGTCATAGGCATTTCTAAGTTAAACTTTAATCTCTCTGTGCTGTAATTGAACTGTAAAACTCAAGCATGACAGATCTCATGAATACTTTTTCTGCAGCAAAAGGTGCATCTGCTTTTGCGTGGCTTGTAATCTGACTTCATGTGAAATGGAAAGCTCTGCTTCCTGAGGGTGAACTAAATCTTAAATATGAACAAAATGTTACTTGATTTTGGCTTATGTTCTTTCTGCTGCCATTGTTTGTTCCTATCTTTCAGATTACCAAATGAAGGTTAAAAGCATAATTGAAAATACTTGGTTTTGTTTGCTTGTCTGAGTGAGGAACAGGACTTTGATTGAAATGTAATTGGGACACTTCGTTAATAAGTTCAGGCCCTTCTAGTACAGTGAACTGTAGGCATACTCCTTTTCTCTAGTGGTTACTTAGTAAGCTAAGGCATGTGTGGAATTTATAACAAAAAATTAAACAGAAAATAAACTCTCTAAACTGTAAGAATCACTGTGAAAAGAACAACTTGGGAATCTCTGATTTCCTTAGATTTGTAGCAGTTCTTCAGAAGGTTATTTGAGAAGTTCAGTCAATGCAGGGTTCAAATCACAAGAAGAATCCTTGTTTTGCCTGCCTGTATGAAAAAAGTCAGAAATTAAAACAATAGTGTTGCATACAAAGTTGATGGATATTTCTTTCCTCATGGAGAGGAATTGAATAGTGCAAAGTATGTTATGTGATACCCAGGTCAATTTGTCAAGACATCCTTGTAAGAGAGTGTTGGGTCAGTTCGCATGAGGAAGTACAAATGTCATAAACAATTGTACAGATACCCTTGGCACAGTGAAGGCCAGTGGCTGAATATAGTTACCCTAAAGGTTTTAGGATGTTGCTACTTGGCATAGGTGTGTTCTTGTTTTTTAATAACAAAAGACTGCAGATGGAGCTAAAACCACGAGTAACATAAATAAAATTTAGTTTATATTTTATTGTATGATCACCTCTCTTTCTTCCATACATGTGCAAATAACATATAAACATTTTTAAATTTTGAAGGTAAAATTTTGAAGAATTTTTTTAATATATGTAGTGATAGATACAGAGATGAAATGTTTTTCAAATCTTTAATATTTAACTGATCTTTAAATACTTTGCTGCTGTAATTCAGTGTGTTTCTTTGCCTAATTCCATTTAATAAATGAACCTGAACCATTGGCTCTCTTACTGCAAAATGAATATGGAAAAGTCAGAATAAAATTAGCTTTAAAATAAAATAACTACTTTGTAAGAATAATTGACGCTGGTCTCTTTTTTCCCCTGTTCTTCATATTTTCATGAAACAACAGGGTTTCTGCCTGGCTGGACCTCTTGGCTTCAGTTTTTGGTTGTTTTTTTTAAGAGTTAGGTTTCCAGCTGCATTGAAACCTATTGGGATTTTGGAGTCTAATTCTTTTAAGCTCCTTTGAAAGTAAAGTCTTTTCTTTTGAGAGGTGCTTATTTCAGGAGTAGACAAAGTTGCTTACCCTGGATAGCAGCAACTCCTTTGAATCGGATCTCTAAGCAGGAAAGCCACTTGTCGAAGTAAAACTGTCAAATGCGAATACAGTATTAAAAACAGTGTTTGGTCTTCATACGGCTAGAGGCATTAGGCAGACAAACATTGTTACAAGGTATGCTAACCAGCTTACTCTGTGAAACACCTTAGGTTGTTTGGTCCCTATGAATGGGAGAGGGAGTGGGATGGATGTACAGGAAGCACTTTAAACAGCAGGAAAATTGTCTATCCCCACTCCCCCCCCCGGGTTTAACTAATTTGTTTTTATTATTTTTCTGACAGTTTTATGGGAATTAAAGTTAGGAGCAGTCTTCTATGTTTTCTTGGGTGCTCTTTTCCTGCTTTTAAGCCATGCAATTTGCATTCCCATGTTACTAAAATAATCAGTTAATGCTCAGAGGTAATTTCAACTAGCTGAATACTAGTAACTACCTTGATTTGAAACCATAATATTTTAAAATGCTTAAACCTGCTTTTCTCTGAAGTCTCTTAAGGCTGAAATATTATCTGAGGCCACAGTACATGCTCAGTGTCTTTCACTGCCTTGATTTGGTGTTTCGGATGTTAGCAAAGACTTTGTATTAAAAAACTAAGGATGGGAAGCAGTCAAATAATATTAGTTTCAAGGAAACCTTCTACAAGTTAAAATATTCCAAGGGAATGCACTTGCTGCAACCAATGAAGCCAATTTTCTCTGCTAGTCTGAGAAATTAATAGTGTGTTTACCTAGTGTTGGA